CCATTGTATACACACACCTCCTGTCAAATTAAAACAATGTCCTCTGCGCTTGCTAGAAATCTTCATGAAAATATCAATCTATTGTAACGTAGAGAAAGTTCCTGTTGTCTTACGTTTAATGCTCCCATGCAGTATCCTTCAAATACCAGTTAAAAGAATGCCCGTGTCTTACACTGTCCCAGTGTGTCCAGTACTTCGAAACATCTTAATAACTCACTTCTTTATCCGCTCAGACAATTAAAGGTCCCTATGACATTATAGTATTCCTCATCTTTGAGAAATATCCTTGTGAGGGGCCAGCACTATGCTTTGAAAATGAGCGACGCTGAGTTTAGAAAGTCACTAAACTCGAACACCAACAAAAGTAGACAAGGAAGGCTCTTAATCGTAAAAACAAAACAACTAAAAAACATCCTGAAAAGTCCAAGCACATTTTGCCCAGCTCTAAGGCAATCATATATTGAAAACATCTTCGAAAATCAACCCCAAATTAGGGCTCTTTACAAACAATGTTGAAACTGATTAGTTTTAGAATTAAGGTCTGAAACCCAAAAGCGAACAACCGTACTATTAACAATTATGTTCTTATAACATATGGTCAACTCAGTACTTTTGCAAAAACGTTGGAAATCAATCCTAACTACTCCAAAACCTTGGCCCCACAACCTCCAACAACAAAAAAATAGTTCTTTTGCTATAACTCTGGAAAATCATCCAATTGCTTATGTAGCTCTAAAGTCTCACCTCCTTTCCTCTCGGGTGGACCATGTTTGGAGAAGTATTGCAAAACGCCATACCCTGAAGATACAAATGTAGTGCGATTATAATTCAAAGTCAGTTTGTCTGAATAACTTTTTCTAAAAATAGGCACGTTACCGAAAAAAGGAAATTTATCAGTAACGTAATATTCAACCTCTTTTGAACTATGACTCGGATGACACAGCTTCCAGTCCTTGAAGGGACTGTTTTCAATATAGATTGTTTGTTGAGTTCACATGCTTTTTCTACCGTCTTTGCATGGTCTTATTGACCAAAATCTTAATGTACTAAACCCAATAAAATGCTTTAAGTCAATAACAAATCCAAAGAAAAGCAGTTCCTGTCACGTTACAATTTACTTTGCTTCGAGCTGAATATAACGTTGTGAAATCACCCTTATAAAAAAAACTATATTGTAGCATTATCTAACATTAGAGAAAAACTGCTCTGAATTCGGTTAAAAGGGGAGAGATGAGAGTAGGAGATACGGGGAAACTCATTAAAGTTAATTTCAACTTCCCGTTAGTTAAGAATTAAACCCAAGATAGTTCGCACTTCATACCAGCAAAATATGGACCAAAGTACCAAGCGCAATCAGTTCTGCTAAAATGTAAAACAGTGCTGTGAGAACTAGTAATGGCACAATATTACAAGCAACATATCCGCAAGGTATTCGATAAGACATGCTATTATATATGTATTTAGGTTAGTATTCAGCTATTCCTGAGAAAGGAGCGTATTTTAGAGGCAAAACGTCTGTCTTATGCGACTTCATTAACAAAGGCGCTTGTGTAATACGAAAGGAAATTAAAAACAAGTGTCAACATAATATAGGCAGATATATCGAGAAAATGCCCAGTTTAATATGGGGGTCCAAACAAGTATAAAGAAAAAGAGAGCAAAACAAGCCAGTAAAACGACACGTTCTCAGGGGAAGTTAACTTAAGCACAACCCCCCCCCTCCCATTCAAAGGAGAATCATTATACAAGTAATGCAGTCATGACTATTGGGCTGCAGCAGCAACCCTCTGCCAGCCACTTACTATAAGTCCTTGCTGCATTGCACGTATGCTGTACCATCCAGCTATTCCAAAGTGATTGGATCCTGAAAAAGCAAACAGAAGATGTTTCTCTCTCTCTTTCTCTCTCTCTCTCTCTCTCTCTCTCTCTCT